TTCGCTACAGAAAAACTATTTACTTCATAACCATTCAATGAAAGAAGAGTATAAAACTTGACTGGAAGAATCAGAATGAAGAGCTTAGGATTATTTTGTGTTGCTTTCTCTCATTGGAGAGTTCAGTTTCAAAGGAAGTTTCTCAAGCAAAGATACTGTGACAGGAAGGAGACAGAGCTGAGAGGGAGGACTTGTCCCTAACTAAGCTCCAGCAGACAGAGCGCATCTTGGTGTCGTCCTTTGACCCAAGAATAGGATCCCTCCCGGGCAGTAGTGAACCCGAAGAGACCGAGTGGCTGCTGTCAGATGCCAAGCACATTTGCTTGAGATGTAATTCAAGTTTGTTTCATAAAATTATTTTAAAATCCAAAACCTGGAATGCAATCTCCAGAAATGGGACTATCCATGGGAAGTTATCAGAGTAGACTACTGAAATTATTTTTGTGCAAGAAAATTTGGGGTCTCCTCACTGCAGTCAATGTACCGGAGTCCTGTAACTGGCCTTAAGCCAGCGACTGGGAGCTTCTGAGGGAGCAATGCTGAACAGAGAGGCTTTCAGGACTGATCAGATTTGGGGTGGAAAGTCTGCTTTCCTGGCCATACCTGGGAAGAAAATCATACTTAAATTGACAGAAGCAGAATTAAGGGCTTTACACATTTACGACATGAACAGTCACACCTTGTTAGTGACCTACGTGACACATTAAACCACGCTAGCTTGCCGGACTGCATTTGTGGATCCATCTGGCTTCTTAGGCATGGGATTAACAATGGACATTGCTTGGGGATGATATTTATTTGGAAACATTATTTTAAAAGGCTTGAATTTAGACATATCTAGAGATTGCCACCTTGTGGAAAGAAGCGGCAAAGATAAGTGAAGAAAAACATCCCAACTATACATAGAGATCATGGGATAATAGAGTAGTGGAAATTGTCCTAAAGATTGCAGGGAAACACCTTCATTTTCTACCTCAATGTCCTCATACAAGAAAAAAAAAGGTATGTCATATAAAATATACTGTCATATATAAACATACATAGGTAGTCTTTGGTGGTATTTGTAAAATACACAAAAACAAAACTCAGGAAATATTAAGATGTAAACACTAAGTTAACCTTCTACCTCCACAGTTTTGTTCAGTCCTCCCTCAATTCTATACAATTATTAATTCTCAGATGTACAAACTCCAAAGCTCAGGAAAAAATTGATTTATTTGTATTGGAGAAAACTGTGGTGTGGACGGACTATGGGACCAGAGCCGCTTTCTGTGCGTGGAGACCTTTGCTCAACACAGGGTTGGCATCAGGAAGGAAGCTGGGCAGCTGGAGGGGTGCATCTCACGTTTCGATTCTGGAGGTGCCTGGCCCACTCCATTGCCTGCAAACCATGTGTTGTCTTTGACTTTGGAATAATAAGCTTGAAAGAAATCAAGTACAAGCAAATCCTTCCAAATAAATACTAGGTTTCATGTTTATATCTGTAGCTGATACATATTTTTCCCATTTGGGTACCTTAGATTTATTCTTAATTTATGACTGAACACATCAGAAGAAAGGGTACAATTACAAGGACTTTTAAGCAATTAATGTAAATAATTAAGTTTGCTTCTGCTTTATGAACTGTTTTATAGATCTTAATTATGTGGAAAGCAAATAAGTCAGCTGAATTTCACTCCTAAATCCAGATGAAAATACCTGTAGATGTATAAGGCTGCTTGGTCCATGCAACTGCTGCCTTCCTCCTTTGCGATTGCCATGGGTGCATTTGTGTCCCTCCAACCACTCACCTGGACTCTGAGTCATTGTACATCCTCCTTTCCATCTTTCCTGGATGAGTCCAGAGGCACATGTCACAGGGAGCAGTCAGTGTCCCTACGATTTATCATTTGTTTCTGTCCATTTCTTCCTTGAATTCACTCCTCATTTCTTCATACTCATCATTCTCCTTCCACATAAATCTCCTATAAATTTTTACCTTACAATTAAACCTTTAATTGCATTATGTTATTCTTGCCCTCTAATGGTTTTACAAGTGTTGGTTTTGTTCCTCTACTCTATGTTGTGTAACTAGAGAACAGGGATTACACATTTTACTTTTTTAAAGTCCAGCACAACATCTATGACAAGATATAATACAGTCAGCTTCCATAAATATTTTAATGTTGAAGAAATTTGGAGCATGGTGGTGTTTGTCCTTCTTCTATTGAATATTTGGGCAAATGACTTAGACAACCTAGAAGGAATGCTTTTTGAGTTTGGACATCCTCTTAGGTCGAGAGTGAAAACCCAGTCTGGATGAGAAGGCACATATTGAATAATCAATTGAATAGGCAGATATTGGAAATATAAAAAATACAACTGAGAAATTTTTATGGAGCAATAAGTGCCTGAAGGAATCAACAAATATGGAGAAGTAACATTTGGGCTAGAGAGGAAAGCAGGCATGTGCAAAGCAACAGAACACAGAATTATCAATAATTATTTGAGGAGTTGTTTATTCAGGGCAGCAAAAATGTAGGAGGGCAGGGGAGCCTTGTGATGTGTTATTGCAGGAGATATAAACTAAACCCAGGTTATAAAGAACTTTATTAATTTTGCAAACTACTAGGATTTAAGTACATGGAGTCTGTCTCAGGTTTTTTCTCTGTTTAGTTCCCAAACCCATCACTCTAGACTCTCATTCCATTCTATCTTGAATGAAATCTTAGAGTCAGGACATAAAGATTCTCCCCATTCCTAGCGTATAACTACCTCACTCAGAGCTCTCCATAGTTAAGTAATATCAAGCCACTTTGCATGAAAATCTTTTGTGGTTTTCCATTTCCTACCAAATTTAGAATAGCATCTGTCAGTAGGTGTTTTCAGCAGTAGGGCCAGGACCAGAGCACCTAGCATCATCTCTCCCTGTCTCCCAGAGATATTCTTGTCAGCAGAAATTATTGACACTTCCCAATTATTAATGCTTTGCATATCACCCAAAGTGTGCTATTACCTGCATACCAAATTCTATTCCTTCAAGTTGCATCATAAGTGACAAATTCTTCTTGAGTCATTTGCAGAAACCCATGAAGCTATTGAATTTCTTCTTCCTTTGCATCTTCTGCACCTATTCATACCAATGACAGCCTGTCTTAAATCCTTATAACTGTATAATGGTTGTTTGTGTTCTTCCCTCCACATGATCACTTTATCTACCTTACCTTGTTCTCTCCTTGAGAAAAAAGATGTAGATTATAGTCATCTTCACTGACCCTAAACCAGCTGGCATACAACCTTGTTCATGCCGATTTTTAGCATTGTACAAATCCATTGTTTACTTTTCTTTGGTTGTGCTGTGAAAGCTGACATGGGTATATTGCAGCATCTGATTCTACATCCTTCATAGAGCCCACAGCATAGAGAAAGAGAGAGTTTGGTCTGGATGCATGTAATAAGATGAGGTGAAGAATTAAATGGGAAGACCTGATGGAAGTTTTAAGTGTGAATGTAGTATCACAAGATTCCACAAATGAAAAGGAAATAGTGTGTTCCAGAGAAGACTTTGAACCCCACTTTAGAGGTCTGGTTATGGGACTGAGGTGATTTCCTGGTAAACACATGTAGAAGAATAAATTTGATGAAAATTGGTGAAGAACATCCTAGATATTCCTTACAAGGAGTCACGGATTGAATTAAAGAAGTAAAAAATCCCTCTTCAAGTAGAGAACAGTTACTGATGTTTTGTTATGTTTTAAAGAAGCATTATTATTGTAGAAATTCAGAAAACAGAAAACCATCAATACAGATTTTTAAAAAAATTATATTATTTGGAATTATATTACATGATCCTGTGTTAATCCTGGTCTCTCTTTCCACCAAGAAATATATGGGAACCATTTCACCTTGTTATTTTTTTAAAAAATTAATGGCTGTATGGTTGTGTTCTATACTATGGACCATAACTTACTAAATTAATTGAGCAGGGCCAATTTTAAAACCTTCTGGCTTTGCAGTGAGAGAAAAAAAAAGGAGTCACCTGTGTTCTAAATTGGAATAAATCAAAAGCCCCTTTGGGGAGAAAACCATATCACAAGTACTTATTCTCATCACAAAAATACCTCAAGGATTTTTAGTGTTAACAGAGAATAGTTTTGCTACTTTTCTGCACTCGTATTGAGGAACATCACCAAATGAAACACGGAAGGGGAACTTAGGGTGCTACACTGTGTGCGCTAAGAGGTGAGATCCCTTTGTCGATTCAATGATCTTGAAAAGCAAGCAGATGAAAGCGGAGCCTTCCCTGAGAATAGAGAGCGCCTCGTTTCTGCATTAATCACCAGCTGCTTTACTCAGGTAGACCACAGGCAGAAAGCACAGAAGCGATTGCCATGCGTGTCTTTACAGCAGGATACATTTATTCTTGATGATACCAACCTCCTCTGAGCCCTTCTTCTGCAGCAGGAAGCCACCTTGGAGCACTGGGTAGGCATAGATGCCTAGCCCTGGTGCCTGGTCTACCAGTAGGCTCCTTAATCTCTATCTCAGCCTCATCTATAAAATTCGGCTATTATCTACTTTGATTAACTATTGTGGATTTTTAAAGTTAATGATAATAATTCCACCAACAGTAGAAATTCACCTTCAAACTTATAAGGGAAAAGTAACAGTCTACTCGCCTAGAGACTAAGAAGAGAAGATAATTTTGGTGGGATGAAGCCTCAGTTCTGTCTCTCTGGATGATAAGAAAGCATATTTATAAGTGAAAGAACGTCAGTAAAGCACATACATAGGGACCATCCACGCTTAAGCCTAAGTATCCAACTGAATTTTATCTTTGATTTAAAGACCTAAGGATTAATCCTTATATATGTCGGCTAAAGATATATAAGTATAATTTAGACGTATAGATATGAACATGCACACAAACATAAAATTGAGTGCTTAGCCACAAGCCAAAAAATATACTCAGTGGCTTGTGTACCTTATGTCAGTTAATTTAGTAACTCGGGGAAGCTTACTGCATTTCTCGTTCTCTCAGAAAGCCGATGAATTCCAGATCGCCCTGATCTTCCCTGGAGGCAGGCCCACACCATCGTGCGTGCAGTTAAATGTACCCTCCACAGTGCTCTCGCTGCCATTTACTGCGGAATTCAGATCTGTTTACTGTTTGCTTGACATAAGCTAACCAACCGATGCAGCCACCTCTGCAGTGTCCAGTGACATAGGTCTAGTGACCACCACTGGCTTGATTGCTGCTGCTTACATAATTGTCCTTTTCTTCTGGAAACTTCCCTTGCTCTCTTTCCCGCAGCTCCCCTGGGGGCCCCAGTGACAGGGGCCTGCTTCCCTGTACAGTGCCAGGCCTGAGGCTGGAACTGTCACAGCAGATCCTCTCTCCAGACAGAGGGACCTGGACAGCACAGTGGTCTGTGTGGAGCTCTCCCTCTCTGTGGCTGCTCTTCCTCTTCCCAGAAATGCTCAGTTGCATCATTCTTCCTTTGACCAAGTAAAATACGGTAAAATTATTTTTCAGTGCATCTGTTAGAAGAAATTATCTTTTAACCTCAATTACTTACTTTTATACTTGTTTGCATTCAAGTTATTGCCCACCAAATCCAACGAGGCCACTGAGGTTGAGATATAAAACCATGACCGTAAGATTTGGAGACCACAGTTAAGGAAACGGATCCAACTAGCAAGTGTGTTGCAAGCAGAGCTTCAGATGACCTCCAGTCCAGTGTGTCGCGTGCAGCTTTGCCTTCGAACACTGCCTCTCCTTTGGCCCCAGGGCCTTCACGTAGACTATGAGCTTCCACAAGTCCGGGGAGGTCAGAGGACACTGCAAAAATGAACCCTGTTTTTATTAGAAGCAGGGGCATCAGTCATGATCTTTAACACTTCCTTAGGCACTCGGGAGTGCTGTGAAGATATTTGCAGACTATCTGTGAGGCCAAACCAAGTAGGATTCTTGGAAATCTGTGGGTTCCAGGAAGGAGCCAAGGAAGCCAGGCAGCTGGGAAATCAAGGGAAATGGCTGTTTATCAACCACTGCAGAGAGATTTCTCTTTCTCTCTCTCTCTCCCTCTCTCTCTCTCTTTCTCTCTCTCTTTCTCTTTCTCTTTTTATGCTGTAGTTTTGTCCACCTAGTACACACAGAATGAACTTTGGAGCCTGAATGGTAGGATGTTTGCAAAGGGAATCCTAGTGAAGGATCCCAGGCAGGAAAAAGCAGTAAAGCTTCCAGTGCCCAAGGTAGGATCTGGAGATTTCTCTGTGCTGTATTCCAGTGTTGACAGGGACTAGAGGCAACTTGGTAGATCTCTCCCTGGGCTCTGTTCTGCTCTGCACCTGGACTGGAATGATGTGGAATGATTCTCGATTGAATGTCTTCTATGTAATGAGACCAATGAGAGGAAAATCAGAAAAAAGAGGCAGCTCCATAGATTGATAGTGTTAGAAACATGACTAGACAATTGCGTACCCAGAGGTCACTAACCAGGGAAGCATCTGTGATCAGAGGATGGCCCTGGAGATCCCCCCTTGAGATTTCTGCCCCTTTGACTTAACTTACAATAAGAAAGGGACTGGTATAGAAACTCAAGCTGTCCTTCCCAAAATGAATCTTTCCCCCAAAGGTTTGCCTTGCAAAAAAATAGCACTTTACTTCCTGTTTGAAGCCATGTTTCCATAAACACACAATCTTTTGTGCCTCACTAATACCTAGACCAATAACTGTGTCTCTGTACATTTATATTCTCTGTATACTGAGATATCACAGGGGCATCCAGTCCAGGGTCCCCTAGACCTCTTGCTGGGCTTATGCTGATGCTCACCATGCCCGTGAGGAGGCTGCTTTAGAGGGCATACTTCTTTCTGCAAACAGAGAAGTCTCCATCAAGCCCTCTCTCTTTTCCTCATCATTTCTTTCCTGGAAACAGAAAACAGTGCATTTTTCCATGAGGCTGTGCATGAGTCCCAGGATTCTATGTGATTTTCTTTCATAAAAATGTTAACTACAGTCAGAAACTAAAGCAGATGAATTGGACCTGAGGGGATTGTATACAGTGTGTTGTGTTCCCAGACAACTTCACTACTTTAATTAAATATACATATATATATATACATATATATATGTATGTGTGTATATATATATATTTATAAATAGTTTGCTGGGGTAGGAATTTCACCCCTCAGTCCAAACAATACTAGTGGCTGGGTGAAGCTGGTCCAAATGCCACCACTTAGAGATGAATCTCATTCTCTAGAAGCAGATCCATTGATCTTCATGTGCACACTGTGTGCCCTCTTGGAAGTGGGTGAGGGGCTGGGGCTTTGGGCACTGGGAGTGCTGGGAATTAATACTATTAGGCCTACTATGTACCATGCTGTCTTCCATGTGCCAAGTACAGTCCTGGCACCAGGAGTGCAATGTGACAAGGCAAAGTTCTTGCTCTCTAGAAGCTTATATTCTAGCTACAGTAGGAAGAATAGGAGAAAATGGTCCAACCCAAATCCTTGATCATACTACAGTGGATACATTATTTGTAGGTATTGAAAAAGAAATATAAGGGGTCTGGAGATGGAACTTTTCAAGGAGATAAAAGAGAACATGAAAATGCCCCAAAGTGGGAACAGTCTTGACCTGATCTAGGATAGAAAATAAGGCCAGCTGAGCAGACAGGCAAGCAGCACATATGACAGCTTAGCCTGCCCACTTAGTAGGCTCCACCTACTGCTTGGAAGAGTAATTTTGAATATCTTTCCTTCTGTTTCTATATCATTATGAATTCAATAATTCTTCAATTATAAGGTTCTGGAAGGTTAAATTTCAGAATGTATCTGGACCACTTTGCAATGATTAAGATCAAAATAAATGGTATTAATTACTTTTGATATTGTTGTCCTTAGTTTTTAATGGCTTCCTTTGCTTTCTACAATACACTAAATTCCAAAGTGTTTCATTATTCTAAGAATCTGCTCTTCCTTTTATCTGAGATGCTATTGTTCATCCCGAATTCCATTCATAAAGCATGGACCTCACCATCTTTTTGTCAGCCATCTCTGAAGTCCTGTCGTTCCTAGCCTGGAACAACTCTCTTCACATTTAATCATATGTTATTTAGTCAGATATATATCACAGATCCCAGATTACATCTACATTGTCTTTACCAACGTTCAGTGCATCAGAGTAGATCTCAGGATTTGAAATGTCAGTGCTCCTGAGATCTTATGCATGGGGCTATGTCAGAAAAGTACAGCTCATTTTAGGTAACTAGTAAGATTTAAAATAGAAAAGTAGTTACGAAGATGAGGAATGAGCTGACATAACAAAGAGTAGATGGAGAGGCAACTCCCAAATTAGCAGAAGCAGAAAGTTGCTACCACCTTAGGCCACGGGAATGAAGGGAGAAGACAAATTAGCAGAGGGTAAGAAACTGATTGGAGAGAGGGCCAGAGGTGGTAGATGCTGAGAGAGGCATTTTGTGGTGCTTTGCCTCTGGTCACTCAGTGTCCCTTTCTGCCTTGGCTGGGCCTCAGAGCAAGAGCCTGAGCCTTAGGAACCACAAGTTACCCAAACCTAAAAGAGCTCATTAACTGAGCTGCTAAAGCATACGCAGCCCCAGGTAGAGCTTGGAAATGATGAACAGTAGAGTATGGCTCAAAGGCATAAGCAAGCGATTATTCCCACAGCTGCAGAAACTAAAGAGATTTTTGGCATACCGTGTGTCAATCATGGAAGCGCATGGTCCTCACAGTTACCGTCAGGCCCAGCCCTCCCCCAGTGCGGGATTCAGCAGACAGTAGTAGCAGCCCAAGAACTTTCATTCAGGCCAGGTGTGGTAACACAGGACTGTAGTCCCAGCCCTTGACAGGCTGAGGCAGGAAGATCACCTTGAGTTTGAGGACAGCCTAGGCTATGTAGTTCAATAAATACAGTAAAAAATTAGGTCTCACCTGAAATGCCTGTGTCATCAGATTATACTTATACTCAGGACTTGAGAACAACACTACTGTGCTTAATTAGAGCAAGAAGAAAACCCAGGAGTAAGAATATTAAAGGCATCTGACTGACCTGCTCAGAAGCTCTTAATGATGAGTACTGTCACATAAGTGTGTATTTCATACAATCACTTTTCATAGCATGTAAACTGTTGAAAGTTCCAATTCACATCCCAATTTCAGAAATGCTAATATTGAAAAATTCATCTGAGAGTAAATAATACATATAATTATACATGACAATACAAAATAACTATTATGTACTTATTTTATAACAGGCACTATTTAAAATGCTTTTGTGTTCATTAATTTTCACAACAAATGTAAGTGGGGGTGGGGATGTTGTTTTATTTTCCACTTTGTAAATGAAAAAATATGAGGTTAAAGAACTTGCCCGAGATAATAAAATTATTAAGTGGTATAATCAAGATTCAAACTTCAAAATCACTCTCTTATCTATTTGCTTCCTGTGTCAGATAATTGAGAGTTTTCAGAAAGTGCTGGGGCTGGAAATTCTGTAGAGAAGAGATGTGTAGCACAGAGAGGTATACATATATGTATATACAGGACAATACTAAGTAGGAGATGAGGCTATTTAGGAGTTTTATTTTTTGTTACTGTATTGATTACTGCACCATCACATACAGGCGATGCGCCTACATACACGGTGATGTGGACTGAGGAAAGCTGAGATCCATGCAGGACCTGGCCACATGATCACATGATCACATGTGGGTGTTTGACCACAGTGATGGCTGCACTTCCTTGGTGGCCTGGACTGTGGGTGTGTCATTGCACTGCACCCTGTGACACTCCAGGAGTATAGTGCAATGCATTTGAACTTCAATAAATATTTTCTCCAGGAGTGGGTCAATTCAGACACTTGTGTGTATGCACTGGCTGCTGGAGCAGTGATGCTGGGGCAGAGCATTTCCGAGACCGTGCCACATTCAGTCAGTGGCCAATGCAATACAGGTAGAAGCAACAAAACACACCAATTAAAAGAGCAGGTCTTTAGGAACTCAACATTGTGCTAATCCTAAAATGGATAAAGATAATAGAAGAAAAAGTATGAACACAGATAGAAATTTGT